CCCAGAGCTGAAACGGCCGGCCGTTGGCCGTGTCCGCACAGCACACCAGCTCCGAGCAAGGTGGCCTGTGTCATCACAGCAGCGCGGAGCAGAGAAGCCAGCTCCATCCCGGGAAGCGCTAAGGCCGTGGTAGTGCTACCCCGTGCCCCATGGCCCAGCCCCAGCACAGCACCCGGCTGGCGCATCGCTGTCCCGGATCTTACTCCGTGGCCACCTTGCCTGCAGCTGCTTGGGGGTTTGAGGTGCCTGGGGTAGCTACTGGGTTTGAGTTGCCTGGAGTAGATACACCGCCGACTGCTTGTGTCTGGCGAAGCCTCTCAACCCCAGCTGCCTGGGCTGCTCCATGCAACAGCGCTGCTGTTTATGGCATTTTTGGGGAGGATGCTTGGGAATGCCCCTGCTCTGAATTCCTGGGCATGAGGACATCACCCACCAGCACCCCGGTGCTGGTCTGCTTGGGACCCGCTCTGAACCTGGAGGGAGGAGGAGCTGGGATACCCACAGCTGGGCTTGAAGTCTGTGTTGTTATTCCCGCAGGAACACATAGGTGATTCTGGTGTAGTAACAGGATCTGCTGGGCTTTATGGCAAGCTGTGAGGTGGCTGAGATGTTCCCTTTTCAAGGGCAAAACTTAGTCTTTTAGAGCTGAGGCCAGAAATACTCCAGTGCTTTGCTCTCTGCAGTGAGACTGAGGCTGTGTCACAAGGTGTCTAGGAGTTTTGTTCACTTAAACACATAATCCTTGTTAAAGAGATGTGTTGAAATGGGATATAAACTGCTCCATTACGTGAAGCAAATACCCTTTTGGGTAGGAAGGGATTTGCCTGCCCTGCTTTGCCAACTGGCCAGTCAGCTCTGTTTTACTGCAGAGCGGAGACTGGCTCGCCTGGTTCATGGCAGCACACTGAGTTGAATGACTTGTGCTTTCATCAGCAAACTGGACAGGCGTCCCGCATCTGAAGATGCTTTCATATGCTCTGCGATTAAATCTTTGGGTCAGGGCTTAGCCTTAATGCTGTCTCCTCTGCTTAGCTGGTACGTCTCTGCTAAGCTTTTTTAATTGAATGATAGTCAAGATCCACATCAGCAGCCCAGAGCCTCTGCTTAAACGTCAAGGGAGTAGGCAATCTGTCATTTTAAGATATCAGTGCGTCTTCTCAAGGCAGCCAGAGCTTACTGTTTCATTTCACAGCTGCCAAGAGATTAACTATACTGTTGTCAGGTGTGATTCTCTAACAGACATGGAGGATAATGTATGAGTGAAAGGAAGTTGATATCCTTGCTTGGGGACAGGTCAGGAGAGAGCTGTATTCAGTAATAAGTATGCCAAGTTTCTGCAGGAAATGAATGTGCCGAGATGTTCATGTCATAGATCTCAATCCTGGCATTTGGGCTGTGTGTGCTGGGATTCGGACTGGCCTTTTCTCCCAGCCTTAGTGGTCTGGGGACTTCAGGACCTAAGAAGAGCTGCTGGGGGAGTCCATCTACCCTTGCCCCTGTTCTGGCATGACCTACGCCAGATGCCCGGGGAAGAGTATAAAGTGAGGCTGGCACTATGCAATCGTTTCCCTCGGCACCCTTCCATCCCACGGGGATTTCTGAATGTGCAATCATATCTTTGCATTTAATAGCTCTTGAGGCATAGCATGTTTGTCTTCGCGCTGCAGAGGGCTAGGCTAGCTGGGGTGTTGCTGTGCCCCAGAACTTAGCTGGGAAAGATGAAGGTGTGAGATGAAAGTATTGTGCATCTGAGCTGAAAGCAGTGGCTGAGCTTTTTGCCTAGCAAGGGTGAAGTCCTGAGCTTTTCAAGTTTCCCTCTTCGTTTTGGTGCTATTATGATGTGACCTGCACTGGTCTACGAGCACAGTACAGTGTAAAGTTGATACTGGGAGTACTGCTGGAGTTGTGCAGAGACTTTTGTGCCAAACTAAAAGTCACAAATGCTAACCTTCAGGCCAAATTTAATATGGAAAAATGGAACCCTGTCAGCTGCCCCTATCCTAAACAGTTGGCCAAACTTCTGTCTGGATTTTAGGAATTCCTGGGAAATATGCTTTAGAGGACCCTGCTTGAGCAGGGAGGTTGGACTAGATGATCTCCAGAGGTCCCTTCCAACCTAAACCGTTCTGTGATTCTGTGATTCTGTGAATATAAGCATAAACCTGCTTCTAGTCTGCAGCTGCGATTGTACTGTTTTCAGTAGCCTTGTATCAAACATTAATTTAGCCATAGCATTTTATAGCATTCTGTGAATCTCTTTGAATTAATACAAATACAAATGTGTCTGAAGCAATGAAACACCATGTATTCCTCCCCCCCATCAGCTAAGATATCTCTGTACAGGAGCTGACAGCTGTTGTCTGCTGCAGTTATCATTCTGCCCTGTCGTCCTGCCCACAGCAGCAAAATAAAGAACTTGTTAGTCGTGTCTTTGTGATCAAGATATAAGCAGCCAATTGATTTTCCTCCTTCTTCTCACTAGTGAGTTCTGACACTTAATAAAACATATATTTCCACTCTCAGAGCAAGCAAAACACTCAGATAGTGCTTGTCAGAGAGACCTGGGAGTTGAGATTCATCTTTATGGAAAATCAATAGCTGAAAAAGAAAAATTGGCAGAATCCAAATTAAAAGTCGCTGGCAATTTCTGTCTTCATATTTCATGTCTACTGCATTTATGAAATAGTAATTTGCTGCGAAGGGAACCGTCATAGGACTAGGGAGGATGATGGACTGTATGATTTGTAAGTATTTGGGTCTTCCTCTACTGCTTTCAGATATGGGGTAACTAAGACTTCTTGAGTGATGGTGGATGTCAGGGAAGTATCCTTTCTCCCACCACACTTCCTTAGAAACAATTTTTCTAAGGGATCTGGTGGAGAAACTGCTCTTCTGGGATGGACGAAGCCCCAGCTGGACCAGCGCAGGAAGGAATTAATCATGCATCCCAGAAACAGCAGTCACCCCCAACTCATTACACCTGCTGCTAATGGCCACCAGGGAAGGAGCCCTGC